GCTCTACCACCGCCCCGGTGCGGCACCGCGCCCCGGCGGCAGGGCAGCTGTGGGCCTCCCCGCCGTGAAAAGCGGGGTGGGGATGGGGCGGCGGGAGAAGGGATTGCGTGGCCTTCGGTCGCTAGCTGATTGCCCTGCGTCTGTGGGCGACTGTACTTCGTTGCAGAAAGACCACGCGAGTTCCTGATCCAGGCGCTGGAAAGGGTGAAGGCCGGGAAACAAGCCGAGGGGGAGTACCCGTACCTCATGGACGAGGCCAACTTGGCCGCCATGTTCGAGTTGCTGGATGTCGTAGGCCAGGGCCACATAACGCCAGCACAGTACAGAGAAGGTGCGTCTCACCCGAACAGCAGGTCGTACTGAAGCGTGTGTATTTGTTTGCACAGAATTATTAAAATAGTTTCAAAGCTATACATATGTATACTTCAAAAGTATCCGCACATCTGCCAATACACAACCTGGAACTTGGAAAGTTAAGTTACATATTTTTAAGTTACATATTTTACCTTTTATTATATTTAGGCCACTTTACGATGTTAAATTACTCTTTCCAAGACTTGCATAGGAAATTCTTTTTCCTTAACTTTAGCTCTTAAAACTTTGGGACTGAGCACTGAAGATCTGCAGTTTGGAGATGATATGAATATCACCCTGGACGTATTCAAGGAAGAAGTGTAAGTTCAATTGAAAGGGGTTTTTTTGGGGGGGATATGCACAGGAGATATTTTACTGAGATTTATTTTTTATTTACAAAACTATGTAATTAAAGGACTTGCTGGTTGAAGCTTAACCCCTTCACTTTGCATTGCAAGATTTAAAAAGGTCAGTTATTGCCCGACCTTGCTTGGCTTGCTGTAACCCGAACCAAACTCGGCCTTTTCCTCCACCACCTCAGTTCCAGGGTCCTGTCACAGCAGATCTCAGATTACCTACCCCTCGGATCAGACAGACGTCATCAGGTAGCCCGGGAGTTCGAATACTGATCTAGAAATGTGAAATAGTGAAGCAGTGTTCTCTTCTTTGCCAGAGGTACTAAGACAGCTGTAGATTAAACAAGCTCAGAGTTACAATTTCTCATGGTCAAGATACTGTTCCGGGGGCAATTTTTTTGTAACTGTTACAATCACTGAAAGGTAACTGGAACTAATTATCCAGATTGTTATCTAACAAGGATTCTTTTTTTTCTGTCTTAGGAAGAAAAAGATGCTGGAGAGCTGGGCTGTGTATTAGTTTGAGCAGTGGTCTGCTGTATGTATTAAAAATAGGCACCTTGCTCAATTCTGCTGGTTGTCAGCTGTGGATAGCTAATCTTAAGCAGTACTCTCTTTTTCTCACCACCGCCCCACCCCCCCCCGTTTGAGGAATCAGCTGAAAAGGACAAATAACAAGAACTTGTTCATGTTTACCAGGCACCGGAGGGGTATCTTTTGAGAATTGCTTTTCTTAATACAATTAGACGGTTAAAAAAAAAAGTAGAGATCTCTTTTATGCAACTAAAATGGTGTTTTGGAGTTTCTTCCTTCATTTTGTAGCTTACAGTAAGAGGTTGTTACTTGTTGGCTCACTGCCCTTGAATAAAATTAACTTTAAGAGTTGAGCTGTTTCTTAAGTTGTTTTTTGGGCTTGTGCGGTGGTGGTTGTTTTTTTTTAAAGGAAAGACCAATTTCAAGTTATGACAAATGTCCATGGTTAAAGAAGTAAAACGCTATTCTCAAACTTACAACAGTATTTATGCAATTTTTAAGGAGAAACTTTAAAAAAAATAGGAGATTCTGGTACACCAAAGAAAAAAAATTTGAATTAGTATGAATAAAGAAAACAAAGTGACATATTCCTTTATTCCTTCCATGTTCTGTATATACACATTTTCATACAGAACATCCATTACCTGGGATTTAGAGATGTAAAACATCTGTGTTTACGTGAAGGTGGACCAGTGCATAAGGAACAGTTGTCCATGTTGTACACAGGTGTATTTACACTGTAAAAACTCTGTCTTCCTTAGAATGACAACATTGACAAGGCAAACATATTCATTAGAGATGAAGACAGTTTTAGCTTCTAAATGCAATGGCAAGGTGGGTATGGAAAATAAGATCTGCCCAGGTCGAAACCAAGTCAGTAGCATTTTGAATTTTTTTTGTAACAGTATACAATAAGGCGTAAGATTAGATTAAACCAGTCATTCAGCATAAAGTATTGAAAAAAACCCCCCATGTATATTACAACATACTTGCTTTGCTTTTGTTTGAAATGAGTAATCTACACCAAGTTATTAACCATTTCTGATGAAGTCTTTATTTTCCTGTGTTTGGCCAACTAGCTCTCAAATTGAGAAGAATCTCAACATCCTTTTGAGCTAATTTATAAACTCCAAGTTCATTTAGTGCTGCTGTTGCAGATGGCTGGTTTGGCTTTAATGTTTCATTTTCTGAAGCTGACTGTAGTACATCCTTCAGAAGCAAGGCAGAGCCAATATTCAGGTTCAGGATAATGCAGGCTTCTTTTATGCTAGAGGAAAAAGTTACATGATTAATATGAGAAGCACCCATGAGATAACACTTGATTTTGTGCACATGGTGATTAACAAAAAAAGCTCCACGGACTTCTGAAAAGGATCAGAAGTATTGAACTGAAAAGTACTGCTTAGATCAAGGCAAATAGTATACTTGTACTATCTCAGCCTTTTCTGTTGTGTACGTGTATTTCATAAGCGTCAATATTTTGCCTCCCGGTGCTTGGCATGGCCTTTTGCTTCGTAAGTTTTTCCACCAGTATTAAAAATATAGAATAGAATTTACTACTTAATCCACCTAGCTTTCCCTAGCTACATTTTCGCCTAAGATAATTAGAAACTTCTTATTCAGCATATTTTAAGAGCACAGTTAAACAAACAGGGTCCTCTGTTGCTAGACTCTGAACATTTTCCCTAATTGATATCATCAGGGAGCAAACAGATACCCTGTCTTTGTCACATTGTCTCTAGTCTAAATATGACAGATAGCCATGTACCCATTATGCATTATTTTTACGGTTCCTTTGTGCATCTGGGAATAATATGTATGTATCAATTACCATTATGAAGGTGATGTGCTCAAAAAAAAAAAAAAAATTAAACCTGAAGATGCTAAGTGAATATTCCAATTTAAAAATGCCAGTATATAATCTTTGTCTTCAAGTGTTCAGGACTGAATGCCATGCTCCATATTGATTTAAATATATTAAGATTTCTGCCCCAATTAACCTAGGAGTCTAGCGCTGGACTCTTTAGAAGACTGCAGGCTGTTTAAAAAAGACTAACCACAAAGAAAGTAGCTTCTTCTCATCAATGAAAGCAATTAGACTGCTATGCAAGGCAATTCTGAGTGGGAACATAGTTTAAAGTAGTCTTTCTTCTAACAATAAAGTTTATTGTGTTGTAACTATATCTTTGAGTAGTTTCTTTGGCCCCAGTTTTGGAAGTCTGTGCTACTTATATTCCTTCCATAAGTTTATTTATCTAGACATCCTGACTGCACAAAATACTCCAGAACACATGCCGCAGTCTGTTGCTGTCTGAGTACATGCCGCAGAATCAAAACTTTCCTGGTTGTAAACACTGGAAGCATAAACAATCCACATATTTTAAGTGCGGATCAAAACTAACCGTGAAAAAATCTTGGTCATACGTAAAACACATGTATTCATCTGGACATTCACTTTTGAAATACCAATAGATCAGAAGTTTGCCTACTTACTGCTTGAAGTAGTTTTCTGGCCTCTTGCAGTAGTGTGAAAATAAAGGGAACAGATTTCTACTCATGTCAAACTGGAGTTGTGCTGCTCCTCCTTCATTGAAATGATTTGCCATAATTATCTACAAACACAAAGAGGTGCATCCACTGTTTAGGCCAGTTACTTACACCTACACTGTATTGCATAGTTCACATTTTGCTGATACCTACTTCCTGATATATGTATATATCCACTTTCTCTGCAAGCATTTGCCAGAAAATTTTGAATAGTGAGTGACAGAGCTGCTGTTCTAGTTGTAGCAAGCGGTCTCGTAGGGTCAACAACATTGGGCAAGCTGTGCTCGATAAAGACATTACTGCTTGCTCTGCTTGAGATGGTAAAGATAACCACCTGAAAGAAATTATCGCACTGAAGTCATTATAATGAAATTATTCCTATTACAAAAACTGAAGTTAAAATTATCCTTTAAAAAAAAAAAATCTTACTCATTTACAATGGTTCAGAGAGAGTTCTCCTTTCCCATTTCAAATCTAAAAGTAATCACAGACTAATGCTATGTTTAAATTTCATTTAATATTAAACTCATGCTTTAGTTATAAATCTCTGAACATGCCATTCAAAGAAACCCCATCTAATCTAGAAATCATTGAGTTGTTGTATTCCTTTTATGAAATACTTCAGAAATTCCACTCAGGAGCAAACATTCAAGAAGCCCTATGAGTCTGCGAAGACAGAACAGTCATTACAGGCCATTTTGTATTAACTCTTTAATACTACTATGAAGAAAATAGTTCTTGTCCAAACTAGAGTGATCCAGAATTATTCCTAGGGTTTTTAAGATAACGCGCCCACTAATTGTGGAACTACTTTAGAAAACATAGCATTAAAATAGTCTTGAAGTAAATGTTAAGAGAATTTTCCAAAACTTACTACCCTACGCCATTCCTATTCAGGAAAATAATTTTGCCTATTAGCTGTTCCTGTCTTTATTTACCTCAATATTTTTAACAGGAAATAATACTGTGATATGGAAGGAGAGTAAACAGACAGAATCACCTCTCTTTTTTGTACAGCTTTGCAGCATCTTTGACCTCTCTGAAGACATGATCTACTTGACGAGTCAGCATGTCATGTTTCAGGCGTTCCAGGAGGTTAATCATTTCATCAAAGACGGAACTCTCCATCGAAGCCAGCTGCCCTAGCTGTAGTTTACTGACAGCATTACTTTCTGCACAAACCTCCAGTTCAGCCTGCTGCAGCTGCAAGAAGAACTAGGGAAACAAAACCAGATACGAACAACACAAAAAATAATCTTACCATTTGAACTTTTCACTGGTACTTTAATAGGCATGGTTCTAGAAAACACACTCCTGACACATTCAAGCTTAAAATTTTAAGATCTTAAAAACACTTTCTTATCTTTCCCTGTGTGTCCTGATTTAGTGAAAAACAAAACCCAGTGGTTTAATACTAGCGATGGAACTGATAGGGGTTTCAGATACAACAGCAGATACGTAATAGGAATAGATCTAGAGAAATACTAAAAAGGTATTTTAAGATTGACAGCAGTATGCTTAAAAAAAAACAAACTGATTTTGGCCTTTTTAATGTTTGCAAAAGTAAACTAGAATCTTTAATTGTGATTTGTTTTAGAAGTAATTGTTCATGAAATCATAAATTTGCTGGGCTGACAACAGCAAGAAAATGGATCAAGTTTAACGTGACATAGTGGTAACAACCAGTTGGTTTTGCTTTCAAGCAGACAAGACACTTAGGTAGATGCAGCTATACAACATGAAGGCTGCTGTCCTATCAAGTCAAGATTACCCTCTGCTAGAGCCACAGTTTCCTGTGAAGACAGAAAGAATTTGGAGGCTGCCCATCTCGCACACAATACCTATTTCTACATACTTTACATGTAACAGGTTTTTTGTCCTTTTGTA